CCCCCTCTCTCTCTGCACTGTCAAAAGACCATCTGCTATTTGAGAAGACACTTCTAGGCTTTATCATTATAATCATCTTTCTATTTCCAGTTAGCAGTGTGCTTTCTTTAATATGATTTTTTTTGTACAAACCACTCTTTTTGCAGAGTTCCTAAGGCCATCACAGCATTTGCCAGTCTTCTCTTTCTCTTTAAGGCAGGGAGTTTTTCTCTTACTGAAGGCAATACGTTTCTACATTAGTGCCTATTCATTTCCTTTTCATTTTCTCGGGAAGAAAAACAATCAGAGCTCATCACTGCTGTAGTCATGGAGATTTCATGTCTCCAGAAGAAATCCAATTGCGGAATTTCTTTGTTAATCCCATACTGAACATTTAAGCTTCCTTGTTTGGGTCACAGCAGCCTAGGCAGGGAGGCTATTGAAAGCTATTACAGCATGATTCATAACGCAGGGTGTGCATACGAGGGGACCTGGGCTGCTGAGGCTTTCATACAGCAGGAGATCCCGCAGATACAGAGCCAGAGCTCTAACTACCTGCTGGACTTGGTTCCTCAGGATACCATGCCCTCAACCAGCCCCAACCAGCCACTGTCTGCCTTGCAAATCCATCCTCCACTGTCTTTCCTACCACCCTGATTCTTTAGGCAGTCTACCACTTCCTTTCTGCATCTCCACTTCTATTCCAGAGAAGTCCACTTGTCAGACATGTTTGTTTCTCCCTCTCCTTCTGTCCTTGAGTGCTTTTATTGCTATCTTATAGGAAACCACCCTTCCACCACTGGCCATTTCCTCTGTTCCCCATGGCTGCCCAATCAGGTGGATAGAGAGTAGGTCTTGAGCAAATCCTTGCTGATTAACTGAGAAATCTGCCATTTGCATCTAAGAATCTAACTTAGCTGCAAATGTGATCATGTCACTGCTTAGTTTAATATCTTCAGTGGCTCTTCTAAGTTCTTTGGAGGGTTTTTTGCGTTCCGTGGCCTGTTCATCCAGGCTGAATGGCCATCAGTGCTCCTGATAAGGAGTGTGTGGAGGGTCATAACTCTTGAGTCTGGTGGAATATTGCCATATTGCAGCTTCCTCACAGAGTTTGACAACCTGGAGGGAGTCATTTATTATCACTGGACCTGTCTCCTCATCTGTATAATGGGGCTGATAGTATCACTGCATGTAGGTTGTTTTGTGGACTGAATACATGAATGCCTGTGGAGCTCCTAAATCTATACCTAGCATATACATTCCTTCTACAACTGGGGTCTCTAAAGTCTCCAAATCATGGTCTTTTAAAAGCCAGCTTCTGTAGCTGTGGGCTATGGAAGGCATATATGCTACACGCAGAATGAAAGGTTTAAAATCCTAGTTCTATTACTCCATGTTCCAAGACTTGGTTTCCTAGATTGTAAAATTAGGATACAATTATTGTATCTACCTCATTAGAGCTTTTAGGAAAAAAGAATAGTTTGTAAAGCATATCTACCAAATTCTCCATTCATCTTTGGTGTTTTTCTAAGTAGTAGCTTTTCTTATCTCTTACAAAGAACTAGGCCCCATAATATTAGAATCCTTTTACCTATTCTCTTAGTAGTAGTATCTGAACTACAGATTATGTAAACCCAAGGACAGGTCTTTTTCATCATTATATCACAAGCACTGGACACATCATTGAGTCTCTGGGATGGACGGCAACCAGCTAGTTTGTTAGTATGTGTAGCCCTTTGCACATAGTGTGGTGGGAAGAGGAGAGTTTGTGATGGAAGACTCCTTTGAGCATGTCTCTTCTCTCTCTTTGGAACAATCTGAAGCCTGGAAGTTAATGCACACCATACCATCTCATTTGGCACTGTGTGAATGGCAGAAGACACATGTCCCAGAAGGGATGAGACTGAATCCCAAGACAAAATACATGCTTTCTCAGTGGGCCTGACTGTATCAGGTTCTTCAGCAGTGTTAATAGCTTCAGCCAGTTAATAGCTAACAACTTGTTCCCTGAGAGCAGTATGAAGCCCTGCTTTGTATCTTATGCTGATTGCCGTGGTGTAAATGTTCCCAACATGATACTTTCAGGCTACTACGGCAAAGTCATCCTAACAAAAGAAAATTCTTCATACTTAATCCACTCACCGGTAATGAGTTGGCTCCAGCACAACACTGTATACGCTTTTTATTTCAGTTTGTCCTTCTGCAAAATGGGAATTCTAGACTGTGACCACCCCGTCTCCACATTAACTATCAGGGAGAGGTGGGCCAAGTGTATCAAAGCTAAGCGAAGCCTGAGTGTGGTGACTGTGCCGTGGCTCGGTCTCATTTTGCAAGTCCCTTCCCATGCACTGGCTGGGCTTGGGCTTGGGCTGGGATCCGTGCCCACCATCTCAGCACACTGCGATCCAGGGTTCTGCTCAAGCAGTGCATTTTGTTTTATCCTCTCAGTCGGGACGATGCTTTCTGCCACAGACTGACTCAATTAGCCTTTCATTCCAGGGTCCAATTGTGAGTCAATTGGACTGAGGTTGTTAAGCAAAATGAGGCTGGTGGCATTAGCCTCGCACTGAAGGACAGTAATCCACCTCACAGTGGGGTTCGGTTAATAGTCTGCTTGACAGTCTGAGAAGCAGAAGACAGGTCTCTGAGGGATAAACAGGGACTGGGGGGGGCAGCCAGGGCACAGAGCTGTTCAACAGCCAGGTTGTGTGTAGAGCTGGGGCCCCAGCTGCCTGGGCTGGCTTTGCAAAGTTAGAAGGCCAGCACCACTAGATCATTAACTTTCATGACTGGGAAAATTCTTCTGAAATTAACACTCAATCCAAGCTGGATGCCATCAGAGCCAGTTGAGTAAACCCAAGCCACCTTCCAGGATTTCCTCAGAAGAAATAAATCCTTTAACTAGACTATAGAAAATAGCTAGGCTTTATATCCTTCAGTGTGTTTGGTGAAAAGCAAAAAAAAACACCAGCAAGACCCAGGCTGAGGTTGAGAACCAGCGTACACACAAGCAGCCACTGCTTCATCATTGTTGTTGTTGGTGGTGGTGATGGTGGTGGTGGTGGGGTTTGAACTCAAGCCTGGGAGCTGTCCCTGAGCTTTTCATTAGACTTTCTTCCCACAGGCTGGCTTTGAACCACAATCCTCAGATTTTAGACTTCTGAATAGAAAGGATTTAAAGGCGTGAGCCACCAGCATTCAGCTGCATCTCATAGATTTTTACCAGGTCTTTTAGCTTCAGCACATGGCCCTGAGTAGGAGGTATAAAGGCCTTTCTGAGGAGTGCCAGATACTGTGCAAAATAACATTAAACAGTAGACAAATAAATGAATGAATAAATCAGTAAATAAAGCATATCTCTAGCATATGCCCTAGAGCTCCACCATGATGGACCAGGTACCCCCAAGTCAATACAGATAGTTATTCAGCTTCAAGGAGAAAACCACACAGACTCCTATACAGCTTGTGCAGTTTACTTAGACATCTACCATTTGTCAGGCCTTTTAGCACCCCTTCTAGTTAAAATTGCAGGGAGAGATGTATCGTGTGCTTCCTCTGGGCCTTTACAGGCTTTCTGTCATCCTCACTCCACTCCACCCCCTCGCTGCCATGTCCACCTCCGTCAGCCCAGGCTTGTTGGTATTAAAAGTAGGCTTAGCAAATGCAATCTCTTGGGTTGGAGGAATCAGAAACAGCACTGGAAGTATCAGCAGCCAGCTCGAGTGAGTGTAAGATAGAAAACTGAGACAAAACCTCTCCATGTCTCGTAATTGCCAGATAATTTTAATTCCCCCCAAGGCCATTGTGTTCTCCCCTGGAACCAGAGCTGCCCTCTGCTGACATGACCTCAGAAGTGGCTCAGTTCTCCTTCAGGATTTCTCCAACAACATCTTTTTCAGATTGAGAAACAGCCAGCTGGCCACAGAATGAAAGCCTGTGGTTTCTCATTCACTTCTGAGTCTCTACAACTTCAGTACCTCCCAGGTCTTCTAGGCTGATCGTGCTGGCCACTGTAGAGATGCCAAAGTAGAGTCAGAGCTATACTTGGGCCTGTAGACTCCTCCAGACACTACCATATGCTCATGGCACTCACTGGGAATTGCACCCATCCCTCTTGCCTCTCACTTCTGGTCCCCAAAAGCCAGCACTTCAAGTGACACCAGGTTAGAAGAAATCACTGCCTCCTGAGCAGAGGAGAGATGCCTTAGGAGACAGAGACATGCATTCTTTAAGCTAGGAGGAATTACGGGAGCAGATGGGCTTTAAGATCCTATTTGGATGCCAGGAACACATTTCTGTATAAAGTAAATATTTTCCCACTGTGGATCTCTGGTGAGTGTGTATAAAAGCATCTTTCCTAAAGATGCAAATAAGTCTAGTCAGAAATAAATATTGAAAGGGAACTTCAAAGCCTCGTGGTTTCTCCAGTTATAGACCCTGAAGACTTCTCTCTAAATAAACAGGCACAGACAGGTGGACCAGGGCTTTGGTGGGGAAAAGGGGGTAGACATTTGGGAGGGTATAAAGAAGGATGACAACATTCAAAGAGTTTGTGCAAAAAAAAATATGCATGTGTGCATGTGTGTGTGTGTGTGTGTGTGTGTGTGTGTGTGTGTGTGTGTGTGTAAAGAGGCATACCAGCAAAGGAATAAAATTTATGTATGTCTGGAGACTTAGAATAGTTTTCCTCTTAATATATGTTTTATATTTGTCACTGAAACAATGTTATACATATTTATGGGCTGCAATGTGATATTTTAATATATATGCAATGTATAATAATTAGATCAGATTAGCTGGCTCAGCTATTTCTTCAAACATGAATATTATTTTCATGTTGATAATATCCCAAATCCTCCCTACCAGTTATTTTAAAACAGACAATTAATTGTTGTTGACCATTGTTTACCCCACTATACACCAGAAGTTACTACACCCCTGTGTCCATTAACCAACACCTCACTTCCCAGCTCAGAAGTTTAGGACATTTTAAAACATTTCCCCCTTTCTTCCTATTGTAGATCTCGCCTAGCAGATTTTTTTACCAACTGTCAGCCGGAGTCAAGGTCTGTCAGCAGCTGTCTAAAGGAGAACTATGCAGACTGCCTCCTTGCCTACTCGGGGCTGATTGGTAAGATTTTGGGGTGCAGGATGGGAGGAGAGTCTGGTTTACCTTCACCCCTCACACTTCACTTTGCAGCCTGATGATGTGTGCACAAGGGAAAATTACCCAGAAGCCTCTGGGTTGGGGTTTTAACAATAACCCCTTTGGTACACACCTGTAGAAAAAAAATAAAAGAGGAGGGAAAGGATGTAGATAGGAATAAGAGGAAGGAAGGAAGGAAGGAAGGAAGGAAGGAAGGAAGGAAGGAAGGAAGGAAGGAAGGAGAGAGGGAGGTAGAGAGGGAAGGAAGGAAGGAAGGAGGGAGGGAAGGAAAGAAAAGCAGAAGAGAAGAAAGATGAAGAAGAGAAGGAGAAGGAAGAAGAGGAGGTAGAGGTGGAAGAAGAAAACAAGCAAGAGTAATGGATACAGGAGGACGCAGAAAAGCAAAGGCAGGAAATGGGGATTATTAAGGCACAGAAAGATTGCAAGTAGGATGAGGAGAAAAGCTTCTCTGTTGGGAAACTGACCATGCAGAACAAAAACAGGAAAACAAGCCTGCCTACTTATGGAAGAAGAAAGCAAGTCAAACCAAGTTAATTGAATTTGGGAACTTTGGAAAGAAAGAACTTGGAAGTCATTCTGTCTGGTGCAATCAGAGAAGCTGTTTCCCAGAAGTAGCCCTTTGGAAATAAAATGCCTGAATATGGGATCCTTTTTGTCATTATCTGTCTTGGTATCCAACTCCCCATGTGCAAGGGATCACTTAGGCTAGTGTTTGATGGATTATTCTTTCCCCCCGAAAAAATACTGTTTCATAACAGAAGTAATACTTTTTCTGTCTTTTGAGACATCAAGCACTGGGCAAACCATGTTCTCAGTAATCAAGAGTACAATGCCATTAAACAAGGCACCAATGGGTTAAGAAAAAGAATGAGAAAGAGGCAAACGTGCACCCAGTGATAAACAGGGCTGTCAGGAGAAAGGCAGGTGTCCCAGGTATCCAGGTATGTTGACAGCAGAAGGCTTGGTGTCAATGCTCCATGAAGTTGGCATTTAGGAAGGAACATGCTGTCGAAAGTGAGTGAAATCACAAATTGTCAGAGTGTAATGACCCAGGCAGGGTGTGTGCTCCTGCAAGGTGTGTTAGGGTCACACACATCCCCAACAGGAACAACTTCACACCCAGAATGACAGCACAGAATAAGCTCCTTGTCACTAGAGTGTCCTCCTCCACAAGAGTCTTTGAGAAAATCAGTCATGGAATTTAATACAAGGGTGTTATTTCTGATTCTTGCACGTTTGTTACTCTTAACTTTTGGAAATGACACCTCTGCTCCCATGGGTGATAATTTAATAATATCTTAACCATTGTGGAGTTATAGACCATTTTTATTGATCTAACCGATGAGTGCATCTTCCTTTGTCAGTACTCTACTTCCTTAGCCATTTCCTTTTCCTTAGCCATGTTAGTCTCTCCTGGGGACTATTTATTCCAATGTGGAATTACAGAAATAACAAAAATGATCATCTCATGCTCACTGTTTAAAAGAAAATAAAAGGAAAATTAAACCAGAGAAGCTCTCAGAAGACAAGGTCAAGCTACACGCCCCCATGTAATTGCTGTTAGCACATAAGCCGGTGTCTTTCTAGGAGCGCATGCTCATTAACTCCTGAATGAGTGGCCAAGGCAAGGTGCAGCCAACACTTCTGTGTGCTTGTTCTAGGCTTGGCAAAGCGAAATAGAGCAGATGAGTGGTGGAAGCAATGTGTTATGGAACCAAAATTTCATTCTCTCTTGGGTGGATATCTCCTTCAGCAATGATTTCTGGGTCATCTTTTTTTTTTATTTAAGACAAATCTTGGTTTCTAATTCTTGGTGCCAGGGATACATTAGATTTATGGTTTTCACTCCCTATTTGAGATGCCCATTTCTTCCCCAGCTGAGTGAGAGGTCCTTCTATTCTAGGTGGGAATTTTCATGCCAAGGTAAAATGGATATTATTCAGTCAGGGCAAAACAATAAGGAATGGAGGATGAAGATAACATGGCCATGACTCAGAAGAGCTTACCAAAAAAAATCTTCTTTCTGGCTGGGAACCAAACATGCCCTGTGGATGATGGACTACATGACTGCTTCATCCCACAAGAATATCTTAACAGCCGAAAGCTTTGGGATACCAGTGGACACTGCCTATTGCCAGTGTGCACCACCCCAGAGAAGACATTTGGGTTGTATAAGTATGAATTCATTGTGTATTTGTGTGGGTCCAGAATTCACTATAAAAACCTGGAATGCCACATGATATAAGCAGAAGGGATCACCCAGCACCTCTCTGAGGAGATGTTTTAGGAGCTTCTAGCTCAGAGAGTTTCCCCTGTTTATGTCCAGTTCTTTCACAACGTGGAGGACTTTATTTAAATCAGCTGAGAATCTGAGGATCATTGACATTAATCTATAGGATACAGGATATGTGGTGTGGGGTAGGGGATAGGGAGGAGACACACTGGAAACCTCGAAACTTCCTTTTGTTTCCTTTGAAGAAGAAGTCATTTGCTTCAGAGGACAATGGATTTCAATCACTAAAATTATCTTTTTGAGATATGTAGACCCATTGCTACCTATTTATGAAGATGGATGACATTTTCAAGTTAATGCAAGAGATTTGGCGACTCATGCATTCTTGGTTAATTTGCTCCTACTCCATAACATCCGCACCATTTATGCAGGAAGAAAATACTCTAAATAAAGCTCCAGGAGTTTTGTTATAATTTTTTAAGTAAATGTGTGAGTTATTTTATGTGCTCAAGATTAATTGCCAAGAAAATGCACCGCTTAACAAAATTTCCCACTCGGCAAGCCCAGAGTTTGTAATTATCCACAGCGCATCTGCTGTCAGGGCAATGTGTGCTCCTTTTCAGGCTATGGAGAAGTCCCCCACCTCTACCCCCCGAGAATGAAATGCCTTGTTTTCTACTTTCAGGCACAGTGATGACCCCCAACTACATAGACTCCAGCAGCCTGAGTGTGGCCCCGTGGTGTGACTGCAGCAACAGTGGGAATGAGCTGGAAGAGTGTTTGAAATTCCTGAACTTCTTCAAGGCCAACACATGTCTTAGTGAGTTTTAATTAAAAAAATAAATAAGTAAGAAGCAGGCAGACACATACATGTTTTCCTCCCTGAGCGGCAGCAGACATCTCGTTGTCTCATGTCTGTTGCCTCTGTCCATCTCCCTGTCTTTCTCCTTCTTACTTCCTGTCTTCCTTTTTCCAATAGCGGATGGTGACTCTAGATCCTTTTGGATGTACTCATGTAGCAGGGACTCGAACAAGTGATTGAGTAATGTTGCCAAGACCCAATCCAAAAGCCTGAAAGAGGAAGAAATTCAAATACTGGAGGGTACATTATGTGGGAAAGAATCTTTCTACCCGCAGATGAAATTTTGATCTTGGCAAGCCCGTGGAAAGTACATTCCCAAGGTTCTAAAAACCTGGGCAGAATACACAATGTGAGAAACGCAGACAGATTAGATGGAGGGAGGACTCCAAGGACTCTCCGGGAGAAATTAGAATGTTAACATCAATAGCCCCTTGGATGTTTGTTGTTGGCTGGGAGCAGAAGCAACAAATCTTGAGTGAGGGAAGCTGATGATGCAGCCAGGAGACCAAGGGTATGGGTTATCTTGGGAGATGAGGTAAGCACTCGGGGGTGGAGGGGGAACGGGAGGGGGTCCTGCTGGGAAACGGAGCTGGTTATTGCTGCAGTGTTCTTTTGTCAATTTGGAAACAAAGAGGTGGAGCTAGAGAGGAATGTACAGATGTGAAGAGTGGATGTTCATGTGACAGACTCCAAAAGCAGGCTGCCAGGGCTCTGTCACAGACAGCCCCACTATGGCCACTCTATAGTTGGGACAGTAGAAACTATCATTCACTCATGTGGAAGCTACCATTTATGGAAGGCTGTAGCGTGTGTTCAAGCTCACTGTAGAGTAATAATGCGAAATCTCATTTGTACTATGCACCCGAACAGTATGAAACGCAGGTTTCATTATATCTGTCCTGCAGCTGAATAAAAACTGTCTTCACATAAACCATACATGGCAGAGTTAGTATCCAAAGCCAGGTTCTTTGTGCAGCCCCAAGCTCCCATGGAGGTCAAAACCATCCCAGGGAGAAAAATCTGTGGAACTCTTAATCTGCAATTAACCAGCAAAATGCTGAAAGTAGAACTGTGGTTCAAGTAGTAAAGAGCCAATCTTGAATGAAAAAAATAAGGGACTGTGCCCTGACCCTGAGTTTAAGCCCCAGTAACAGCATACGCTTTCATGCATATAACACACACACACACACACACACACACACACACACACACACACACACACACACACACACACACACACACACACACACACACACACACACACACACACACACACACACACTCCTATTAGACCACAGTGTAACCCTGAACATTATGGATCAGGTTTGAGTTCTAGGTGACAGGGACCATTTTCTTGGAATAAAGGTTCAGCTGTCCCCTACTGAGAGCCTTGTCCTCAATATAACAATTTCTCCATAACATTCTGCAGTATGTTGACTGGTATTTTTGAAGCATTAGCTGACAATTTGCCATATACACACAAAGCAGCTTTTGAGTATCACTCTAAAATCTCTCCATCATTTCTTTTGTTGCAAAGTAAAACCTAAGTCCTCAGGTGCTTCAAATAATGTGGCCCAAGTCCCTTGCTTTGATCCTCTTAAAAATAACACAAGCTTTTGGATTCTTAAGTGAAATTCAAACGCAGAATATTAGTCTGAGGATGGAGGCATTTGCCTAGACATTGGGTGTGTCAAGGAATTGCAACTGGGACCTCGTATTTCCTCTTGTCTTCTTTTTCACATCTTGCATTCTCCTGATGGATTGGAAGTTTTAAGAAGATAAAGCAATAACAATATAGTCAGCATGAGAAAATACACTGTCTGGAAAATGTACTTTTCCTCCCCACAGAGAAATTAAAGTTGTCCCTGCTTAATAACATTTTGGCATAGGGAAGAGTAGTCTGGTATCTTATTGCTAATGACTTTCCAATCAAAATAAATGCATTTGGTTGACAAGAAGGGCCAAAGTCAGCCAGCATTATTTTAGTTATGTGTTATGTGTCCTTGGGCTGGATGGGACACAAAGCATCAAAAACATGGGGCTGCATATTCAGTCTCTCATAAAGGCTCTAAACGAGAAGCAATTGGACTTTTTCAATTTGAATCCATATGGAGAAACTCAGTTTTACCAATTTCAAATTAAACCAAACCTCTCTTCAGTTGCTCTACCATGAACACAAATATAACCCATTGTTTACTTCTAGTTTTGGGCTGGTAAATTGTATTGTTTAAGCCAAGTATGTGGCAGATAGATGTTTGGAGGAAGAGAGAAGAATGGGAGGTGATGGAAGTGAGGGCTGAGTTGCATCACTCAAGTTTTTTCCAGAAGTCGTCTCCTCTGAGAGGGCTCCCTCCCACTTTACCCATCAACTTCCTCCTCTTTATCCCACCCCACCTATCAACTTCCTCTTTGCATCCCAGTGATCCTTGGTTGCTTCCTTTGTCTCCAAGCATTTCTCATCCTCTAGTCTATTGTAGGTTTTGCTTATCTGCCTCTGCAGATGGAAGTTGTGGTTGGGGAGAGACTGTTGTCTTTTGATGCTGTTGTTTACAATTATGTACCTAGCATGTGCAGCAGTCCGTGCCTGGTGCATAATTTCTATTAATGTTTGAATAAATGAAATGAATGAATGAATGAACATCTGAGCAACTGAACTCACAGGGACGAGGTAAACACTTAGGGAAAGCATAGATAAGACTGGTCTGGAACTCAGTATATATAGCTCAGGCTGGCTTCAAATGAGTGATTCTCCCATCTCTGCTTCCCAAGTGCTGGGATTACAAGTGTGGTCCACCATGCCCAAGCTCTACATTTCTAAACAGGAAAAAGGAAGAATTTTATTGTTCTTGTTTTGAGATCGTTTAGGGAAACGGGTCCCTAGGTCCTCCATTCTCAGCATTCCATCCGCTGGTTAAGCCATGCAGTGCAGCTAAGAGCATAAAAAGGCATTTGTATTAATTGGAAGTTGTTTCTTCTATCCCCCCAAAAGTAAAGTTGTTGAAAACGAGCTTCCAATTTGCGAAACTAAAAGAATAACAATTTTAGACAAAAATATCTGTTCTCGGGGCAAGATTAGGCCTGAATTATTTTGTCTTGTATACAGTGGGGAAACAATGCCAACTGAGAGTCGTATATTAACAATTTGCACATTCAGGCCCCAAATGGAGGAGTTTGATTTCTTATACAATGAGTATGAAATAAAAAATTCCTAAATCCTTGCCAAATCCCTGAAGACCTGATTAAAAACGGTTTTTTATTCATTTTGAGGAGGGAACAACACACAACCAATTTAGTTCTGCCATAAAAAACAATCTAATCCCACGAAATTGTAATAAGCTTTTAAAGTTTTACATTTTAAACTTTTCATTTAAACAGGGCTGCTTCTATCTAATTATGCAGATTTTGTTTGGAAGACTTGGGAGCAGAAAAGGAAAAAAAATTTTTTACTTGAATGTTCTCTAGCTATTGATGAGGTTTGAGGTAGATTTTTCTTTGAAAGAAACTGGCTACATTTTGCCTGCCTTAGTCTCACGATGAGGGATATACTTAAAAGAAAGAAGCATTCACCAATTTACTTTTAGCATAGAATTTTGACAAAGCTTAAGATTTTTCTATGAGCCCAAGTAAAACGTCTGAGGCTAGGTTTCCAAAGGGTTGACCTCTGAACAGTTCAGAGCCAGGGCCTCGCTCAGCACCTGTCACATAAATAGAAACACAAGAAATATTTGTTGGAGGATATCCCAGTGTCCATCTCAGTATTTAATGAGTTTTATTTTATTTTTTCTGGCCCTGGGGATTGAACTCTGGGCCTGGGTGCTGTCCCTGAGCTCCTTTCAGCTCAAGGCGAGCGTTCTACCATTTGAGCCACAGCACCACTTCCCGCTTTTTCTATGATTAATTAGAGATAAAAGTCTCACAGACTTTCCTACCTGGGCTGGCTTCAAACCACAGTTCTCAGGTCTCAGCTTGCTGTGTAGCTAGGATTACAGGCGTGAGCCACTGGTGCCCACTAGATTGAATTGATTGTTGAGCACCCAACCCAAAAGCTTAGCTCTGAACATAAGTAGGGTGGCTAGATGGCTGCTCTAATCAGAATTTCTAGTGTGCCTCTCTGGCCGTGTGTATGTATCCTGCCTGTTACATTTGCTGCTTGACTTTGAAATTGGATTTCCTCCTGTTTTACTGCAGAAAATGCAATTCAAGCCTTTGGCAATGGCTCTGATGTGACTGTGTGGCGGCCAGCCTTCCCGGTGCAGACTACCACTGCCACCACCACTACAGCCTTCCGGGTCAAGAACAAGCCCCAGGCACCTGCAGGGTCTGAGAATGAAATTCCCACACATGTTTTGCCACCTTGTGCAAATTTACAGGTGAGAGCTGGGGTGTAGACTTCCTGTCGGAGCTCACTTCTAGAGGACCCAAGGGTTTATTTTCTGAAATGCGCTCCGTGACAATGGCAAATGTTATTCAGATTTGAATGTGGAAGCTGCTTGGTAAATGCAATAAACGGAGAATGTGATGTGTCGTAGAGCGGAGAGACACATGGACAAGGAACTGACTCTGCCAATTACAAAGGATGGAGCTGTGGTCCAGGGCCCCTACATCCAGCTCTATAAGAGGAGGATTCTAGGACAGTGTACCCTTATAAGTCTTATTTGTGAGACCATACAGTTGGGTTGACTGCTCGTATGTGCTGCTGATTGCATGTTCTCTACAAAGCAATAGCTTCTTGAAAAGGAAGGAGTTGTCAGTTTGTCACATGCCAGTCACTGCAACAGCATCTGGGATGTTCGACTGTCTCTGATGTAAACCAGAGTCGGCTGTGGTTGGGTCCTCTGTGGAGTCTCGGAGGAGTTAGTTCTTCAGCAAGCAAAGGTGTATGTTTCCAGCAGCCAGAGGTGAGATGCTGGGTGCTGCCGTACAAAACCCCACAGCCTAGAAATTTCTTTGGGGTTCATTCAGATCTGCAATGGCAGAACCACAGTGTGCACATGATTTCCCACCTTTAGTTAAAAGCAGAATGTTGGTTTAATCTGCCTCGTATTGATTTTTTCATAGTAGTGAGTGCCCAACTATTTGGTGAGACATGATTGGTATGCTCACAAAGGATTCTCACTGACTTCACCTGGGTGGATGTTACCGCTGTAACGGTGGGGGGGACAGTGCTGGGACTATGATTTAGTCTCATTCTTTCCATGGTCTGCCCTGTATTTAGGGCAAAGTGGACACTTCTCTCTCCTGATATGCTGGGGGGAAAAGGATGTTTACTTTGCCTATGTGTCAAGCCCTGTGCTTTGACCTCATACTTATCCCTTCTGTCTCCCGGCCAAGGGTAAGGCTGGAATGCTCACCAGAAGCCTTCTTTGGCCACATTCCATCTTGATCTACAACTCACTTTACTCCCCAAAATGTGAAAGGAATGTTTTCCTACTTCTAATTTACTTGATAATATCTCACTCCACGGGCTCCCCTCTTCTTGATGTCTTATATGCCCTTCATTGACCTTTTCGTCTCTGTCCTCAGTCCCCCCACATCTCCATCCCAATACATAGACCCAGAGATACACAAAACACTAAAGAGAAGGCAGACAGGAAACCACACAACCAGATGCAACCTTATGTTCTTCAGACTTGTAAAGCCTTCCAGAAGCCTTCACCATCGCCAAAGCACTGTGCAGAGAATGTCTGAGCTAGAGGGTAGTTTGAGGAATGATCTTGTGATGTCTAACTGTCCTATCTTAAAGCAGACCCGGAGTTTCAGAGAAGGAAAGTGACTTAACCATGGTCTCCCAGCCTTGTGGAGGTGAATGTTGAGTCAGGCAGGAACTTTAGTTCGTCTCTGGTTAGGGTTCTGACCCTGCTTCTTCTTCCTGGGGCTTTGATCGTTCCTCTTGGGTCACTTCTCTGTGGCCTCTTCAGATGATGGATAAGGCCTTGAAATTACAAGGTAATGATGGGCCAGATGTGGTCGCTGGACAGTAAGAAAGGCAGTATCTCCCCAGCCCAACCAGTGTCTCTCTGCATACATCTAAGTACATACAAGATGGCAATTGAAGCTCCCTTCAGCTGGTTTATTAAATCCCTCCTTTCTGTCTTGGAAAGTAACTGGAGATGAGCACTCCAAAACTACAGTGTGCACTTTACTCCTCCGTGAACTCCAAGTATAGTCAGCAAGCTGTAGCTTGGCCGTAGCTCTGAATGGTCAGACTATGGTTAATAGTCTGATTGTCATCATAGAAAAACCATGAAATTCCAAGTTTCTGCCCATAAGTGGAGAGGAATCTGCCAACACCAGGACTTGTCCCCTGCCTCCCAGCCATGTCACCTTCCTCACAGATCCTGACTTGGGCCCTGTGGAACAAGGCTTGGCTTGGCAGTCCATTGCTGCCAACCTGAATCTGCTCTGTGTACAGCAGCATGGTTGTCCTGGCAACGCCGGGGAACACAACACATGGGCTCCATTCCCTAAGAAACCAAGCTTTTTGCCAGCCATTGTTAGTGATAGGCACTCTGCTTCATAAAGAGGGGGGTATGAGGTTCATCTCGGGGCTGATTTCTCAGCCATGGGGTGTGGAGAAATGAGGCTGGCCAGGAAGAAGGGCAGCCACACCTTTCCTCTCTCTGGTGTACTTTGGAGCTAACTGAATGGCATATGGCACCTCAGAAGATTCCAGACTTTGATGAGTCCTTACCTTGACTCCTAAGGCCTCTACCTGCTTAAGTCTATATCTGTCTTGAGCTTTGCAGCCACACCTACATCAAACCCTGCTCTTGTCTTCATTACCATGGTAGCTCTGGCTAGGGTGCTCACCTTAGACTCTCAGCTTCCCCATGCACAAAATGTGAGTATGGTCTAGCTGTTAAGAGCAGAGAGGCTTAGACGAGGCACTGAATGCTCCAGAATAACACTTTTTAAACATCCCCTGCAATGATTATCCACATGGCCCCTGTGTCGTGCTGGATCGTGATGCTGGGCCTTGCTTAGGAGTGGGAACTGGGGTGTACTGGGAGCTCTGCAGGTGTGAGCACTAGCAGGTGGACAGTGTGTCTGAATCCTTGAAACAGTTGGCATGCATTGCCCCTTTTCTCTTCACAACAGCTCTATGAGTCAGGTGTGACAGACATCCTTCCCTTTTACAAATGAGGAAACTGAGGCAGAGAGAGATACTGATCTCACCAGAACCATCCAGTATATCCTTGACAGCATGGTCCCATGGCCAGTGTGCTTTGGCTTTGTTTTATAACCCTTGGACAGCCAAGGTTCACTCTTTGTGTTAGCAGTGGACGGCAAGGAGGAAGTAAAGAATAAAAAAGGAGGAAGGAAGAAGCTAGATTTGAGATAACCTACTGCTCTCATTCTTCCCAGTGGTCATGGAAAGGACAAACAGAATTTACATTTTAGCCTGGGCTTCAGTCCCTGGATCCAGGAGACAGTATAGGAGGAAGACTGAAAGGTTAGCAGTAAAATATTTTGCAGCTTGATGACCTTTGAAGGTGACCTAGATGAAGAATGGTTGGAAGGATCATTTGAGGGCAGAGGACCAGAGGTGGCAGGGCTGATGAAGGGCCTTACCCTGTGAACGTGGTCTCTGGCTGATTTAGGACCCTCACTTGACTCAGGGCTCCCAGGAGGCTCATTCTTCGCATCTGCCCTTCCTTTGCCAGCCTGCTTGCCTGTCTCCAGATGAATTACCATTTGCCCGGGGTCCCAGAAATATCTTGGCATGACGTTTGTCCCTGCCACCTGTGTCATGACTCAGAATAGAACTAACTAAACCAACCTGGGATCCATTGGTAACAGATCTGGAGAGTCAAGGTCTTTGGCAACCTTAAAGTTCACTTCCCATCACAAGCACCCTCTTGTAATATTTTGAGGATTCAATAATAGGAGAAAGCTCTGGGGACTGAAGTCTCTTGTCTTAACATTTGGTATAGATCTCCCTTCCCTCCCCCCCTTGGAAGGGAAGAAATAGAAGAAACATTGTCACAAGCTGCTTCAAAGTGGCATTATCAGCAAAGCCACGGCCAATCTGCTCAGGGAATGGGTGGTTCTGGGTCTCTAGCCATCATGGAGTTCCTTGTGGCTCCTGTGAAACACTCTGCTTTTAAAAAAGAAAGATGATTGATTAGCATAAAATGTCATGGAAATGTCCAAATGCTAACCCCCCGAGGTGATAAAATGCAGGGTTTGGGGTAACCCGCCAAGGTCCCATGTCAGAATTAATTGGCAGTCATATTAGTAACAAGCGTGACGAGAGCTGTGCTATTGTTGGCATACTCCTTTGACTTGTACAAAGTAGTCACACACACGCACACACACACACACACACACACACACACACACACACACAAAGAAACCTTAATAATTCTACCAATTACTTCATCATCTGTGCACTTGAGTGGCCTGGTAACTGGAAAAGCTCAGAATATTGAAACCAAATGCACTGTACTTGTGACTTATTTAAAGTAAATATCTCCAGAGATGTAAGCCAGTGTTGAGAACGTCTATTTTGCATGCCTGAACACTGCTTTGCTTTGGTGGCTTAAGATGGAGACCTCTTAATGTGGTATTTGAGCACCTCTGCCTTCCATGTTTACAGAATACATTTGTCTGTCCCAGGATGTCTGCAGCAGTTGGTTCCAGGAACTCCCAAGAATACTGAAATCCATGGATTTCAGGTTCTTTGTATAAGATGGCACAATATTTGCATACAAACCATGCACATCCTCCTGTAGTCCTTAAATCATTTATAAATGACTTAAAATACCAAAAGCAATGTAAATGTTCTATAGCCAGCTATTATACTGGATTGTCCAAGGAATAATGGCAAGAAAGAATCTGTCCATGTTCAGTACAGATGTGGGCTTTTTTCTTTTTGTAAATATTAACCATCAAGCATGGATTGTATTCTCAGGACCTAGAGTTCCAGAAAGCTAACTGTCGGGTGAACTGTAACTGCAAGCTGGGCTCTGGAGTCTTGGAACTAGGTTTCGAAGCCCTGAGACGTCGTAAAGGCCTCCACCTCTTTTCCCTTGAAGGTTATGTACAGGTCCCACAGGGCATCCATGCAGAACCAGGGCTCTTAGGATGGCTAGAGAATGGCAAGAGGCACTTGATAGAGTGCTAGTGAACCGCTTAAGCCAGGCTTGTGTGTGTGTGTGTGTGTAGAGCATGTGGGGGAAAGACATGGAGGGACAGCAGGCAGCAATCCCAGATTTAGATCTCTTCCTCGAGGGACCTTGGAAGCAGCATCCTAGAAGGGAACCAGCAGAGCCTCCTGCTCAGTTGTAACAGAGATATGCACAGGGTCTGCATGGAGGAATGCTTTCTGCCCACAATAGCAATGTGGAAGTCAACTCTCCTGCCCTCA